TGGGGGGTGGAAATCTCACAGCAACAGGCGCTTTGACTTCCCGTCATGGAAATAATCCTTGCGGAAGAAAGCCACTGAGGATTTCACAGTCGCCCATGTGCTACACAGCGTGATGGCTTGAATTTTGCAGTGATAATGAGACGTGAACTCCGATCCCCTGCAGCAAGGCATACAAGTCCCTTCTAACTGAGCAAGACAAGACATACTCTGTGCTCGTACCAGTACAGCACCCGGGACGCAACCACCGTTTGGTTCTGCATCCAGCCAGTGCTTGTGCAGTTGCAGGATCATAGGAGAGTAGATCTGGAAGGGATCTCACAAGGTTGTCTAGTCCGGCAGTTATCAACCGTTTTTGTACCAGGACCCATTTGGAAACGTTGATGGCTGGTCCTGGTCTGGTGCCCCTCGCTCCCGACCCCCTGCCCTCCATCCCCAAACCCCAGTCCCCCAGTGGGGTGGGGGTGTGGGGCATGGAAGGCCCCAAGCAGCCCCTCTCAGGCTGAAACTGCCAGCCTGCAAGGGAAAAGCCACAGTTTCCCACATTTGTCTTCTTTAAAGGAGAATCCATTTTTAAAAAATTGTTTGCAATCCTTTCATATATTCTGGGGACCCACTTTTGGGTCGCGACCCATGGGTTGAGAAATGCTGGTCTAGTCCAGCCCCCTGCTCAAGGCAGGATGTCCCTGAATAACCAGCCCAGCCAAGCACCAGTGCAACCTGCTCGTCAAAATTTCCAGGGATGGAAATCCCACAATTTCTCTAGGCAGCCGGCACCATGCTTGAGCTCCCTCATAATCAGAAAGTTCCTCCTAATCTCCAAACTCAATCTCCCCTGCTGCAGCTTGAGACCATTGATCCTAATCCTGTCCCCTATGGCCACAAAGAAAAGCCCATCTCCCTCCTCTCTATAATCACCCTTCAGGTACTTGAAGACTGTTATCATATCACCGTTCAGTCTTCTCTTCTCCAAACTGAATAATGGAGGTACCATTGTCTCAGTCTCAAAGCATTGTGAAAACACTAATTAATTTACCCATGCAGAGCCTCTCTAAGCAAAGTAAGGGCTGTTATTCCCACTTTACAGAGGCAGCAGAGAAAGTCAGTGCTCAAGGAATAGATGTAGTTCCTGGCTGCTACCCCTTGTTGTTTTAAAAAACACCTGCAGGGAATTGCAGCTCTTTGGTGATACCGCTAAGGAACCACAGGGTGCATTGCTCAGATATATGTCCTGATGTCTAGACATCCTCCCTCAAAGTCTCTCCACATCCAAGTCCTCTGGGGTAGCAGACACGGCAGTGACATCTAGTCACTGGGGCACAGTGCATGGGCTTGGGCAAGACACTTACTCACTCTATGACTTGAGTGTGCACCTCTGTAGTCCAAGCAGGGATGATCCCAGGGGGCACCCTCTTGGCATTAAACAAATAAAGACAGAGGGGCTCCCTTTATTTACACAATGGAAGAGCATTTCTTCTGGAGACGTGATGCTAGAAGTCTTCAACACGTATGGGGAATTGTGCAAGCGTAAGCTAACTCCTGTGCTCCCGCCCCCTGGAAAGTATGTACAGTAAAGCTTATTCTTCCCGGCTTTGCAGACAGAAACCACCGAGGCAGAGAAATCAAGTCCTAATAGTATATTGTGAGCAGAAAAGAGCCCCAAGAGTGCAACAGAAGAGTCCATGATCATTCTTGCCATCTATGTGGAGGCCACTGGCAGATGAACGCTTATTTACTGGGGGGAAGTAGGGGAAAGATACCACCCCGCTCTGGACCTCTGTCTGCCCACCTGCAAAGTGGAGACAATGCTACTTGCCTCCTAATCAGCTCTGTGGATGAAAAATGCTGCAGGGGCCCAAACTAAAGTGAGCTAAATGCTTCTCTAAATCTGAAATTCCAATGTATCATGTATTGGTGAAAAGCTTTATATGTGGACCACCCTTGTGGCTGGTTGCTTGCTTTATTGTGCCTTAAATTGGCTGAGTGTGTGGCAGGGCTACTATTTATGGCACCGTGTATATGTTAATTATGTCATAAATGTCACATGTGCCAGGGTCCCCCCCTGCAGTGTAAAGAGCCTTAATGAGGTATAAACAGCTGAGTGCACACCCTGAGTAACCAGGAAAGGCCCTTAAGAAGGATCAAACAGCTGAAAGCGGGCTGTTCCCACACCAATTAGTGGAGATGTTTAATTGCATAGAAATCAGACATTTGGCACAAACGGTATCGTTAATATTGAAATAAATAGGATTTAGCCAGTGGCTAGTGTCATTTGCATGATAAAAGTGGCTGCTCACCTTAACTGCAGACCTCTTCAGAGGCGTATACAGCATTCCTATTATAGAGGCAGGGGGCATCCTGATGCTGATGAATCAGCATAACAGGCTTGCACCCAACAAATAATGCAATGGGATTGTCACGATGCCTCAAAAGCTTGGGAAGAAGAAACAAGGCTTAAATCCTTGTGCCTTGTACTTTAATTGAGCCCAGGGTTGTGCTGTGATTCAGGTATATTATGTTTATGTAACTGGCATTTGGCTGAATGTGTAATTCTGATTTAACAGCTGAAGAGAGGCATTTGTGGGCTTCAAAGGAATCTGACAGGTAATTCCCACTGTAGTTCTGCAGGGTAGCTGAGAAGTAATTATCCTTCTCACTAGTAAATCAATTAGAAATGGATGTATGTAACACTTTTCTCCTCCTCCAAGTAACTGCTAATCCTCTAAGCACTAATGAGCAGACAGTGTTAGCAACACGCTGCTAACTGATCAAGACTGAGCTGGAGGGTTCAGGCTTGGGGAGACACTGAAACACAAGACAAGAAACAGCTCACCTCCTGACAGTCAACACGCACACATATGCATGTGTTGGCACGTGTCTGCATTCACACACGCATGCATACATGTGTGTTGGCACAAGCCTGCACTCGCACCCGCATGCATAGATACATGTGTGTTGGCATGAGCCTGCATTCACACCTACATGCATACATACGTGTGTTTGCACATGCCTGCATTTGCACCTGCCTGCATACATACGTGTGTTGACACGTGCCTGCATTTGCACATGCATGCATACATATGTGTGTGTTTGCACATGCCTGCAATCACACCTGCATGCATACATGCGTGTGTGTTGGCACGTGCCTTCATTTACACCTGCATGTATACATACATACACACGTGTGCTGGCACGTGCCTGCATTTGCGCACGCATGCCCGCATACGTGTGGGCTGGCACATGCCTGCATTTGCACACGCATGCCCGCATACGCGTGGGCTGGCACGTGCCTGCATTCGCACACGCATGCCTGCATACATGTGGGCTGGCACGTGCCTGCATTCGCACACGCATGCCTGCATACGTGTGGGCTGGCACGTGCCTGCATTCGCACACATGCATACATACTGTGTTTGCACATGCCTGCATTTGCACACGCATGCATACATACGTGTGTGTTGGCGTGTGCCTGCATTTGCACACATGCAAATCTGAATGTCTTTAGCTGTAGGCCAATGTAATTCTAAACCATTTTAAAAGGAGAAAAGGGGCTTGCAGTGCTTCCCCTGTTCTGATTTAACTTACGTCGTCCGCTCCTGCACCAGGACGCAAGAGCTAGACGGACTTTAAACTTGTGCAAAACAGATTGAAAGTTACAGCTGTTCAACCCCACTATGCTGGAGGATGGTGTGACCAGTGCCACAAAAAGAGGGAATCTCAGTATTATAAACTAGAGCCGTGTCCCAATGCCATGAGCGGCCAAGGAGAGTTTATTCTGATCATGCAATGGGAAATCTCTCTTGGCGGGGTCACACAAACTGAAGAGGAATTAGCTCTTCAACTTGCATCCACAGATCCATGAATTTTAGGGCCGGAAGAGCTTATGAAAAAACAAAACAAAAACAAAAAAATGTCATTGCTTCTTGCTCAGAATAGCGGCCAGATCACAATGGCTTTCAAGAGAATTCAGCCTGCACGTAGAAAAATATAAAAGCCACCCCACACAGACACGTACATACTTAGACGTTGTACTTCTGGCTGATTGCTATAGAAATGTGCCTGCCCTTAGGTTCCAGACAGAGAAAGAAACATCAATCCTGTAACCTCTGTGGCCTGACCAGTGATGGAAAAAAACAATAGTAATAATAATAATAATAAAATACAACTTTGGAAGGCTATTGAGGGAGACAGGAGATAGGCAGTTTGAAAATAATCAAGCATAATAGTCTCCCGGCCTTACTGCCACACGGCACCGAAACCAGCATTTAGCTGTCTGCTGCAGCTAAAATCACTCTCTGATTAACAGGGGTAGCAAACAAGCAAGCAGGCCTGACTACTTCCTTGAAACAACTCGTAACTCGAAATCAGAAAGCACTAAGCAGGCATGCTGGCTCCGCGGTCCGGCTCGAATTGCATCATGTGGGAAGCCTGAGCAGAGCGTTCTGACATCATGCGGGCTCCCACGCCGAGCAAAAGGTTCCCACCCACCGTTCCACATCCAGCCACATGTTCCCCCGCCAGCCCCCTTACGTGATGTAACCAGCCAGAAATGCCAGCTGCGGGCTAATTTCCAACCCCCGGAAAGCATCAGAAGAAGCACCGTTAAAAGGGGGGGGGGGGGGAATGGAAACAGCGTCTCTCTTACCCCGTATTTCTAATAATAAAAAGACAGGGGAGGGAAGCAGGGGAGCGAGCGTAAAAGCAGGAGGGGCACGTCACCATCACTTCTGCACGAATGCCAACAAGAGTCGGAAGCAAATAAAATCAGCTGCTTTACATCTCGAACGCCATGCTAGATTCATGCGGCCGGAAGTTAAAGGTTTGAGTCATCTTGCTTATTCCAGCCTTAACTTCACCAGCGTAAATTATTAGACGACGTTCGGGTCCTGGAGTTTCTCATGAGTTACCGCTGGATTTCGCTTGAGGATCATAATTCTTTAAAAGAACAAGTCAAGCATGGTAATTTTGTTTCTATAGCTACCGCCTCCATGGCTCTCCCTTACCTTCCTCTTGTTAGTCGGACTGACATAAAGATAGCTGAGCACAGTTTTCAGACCCACTTTGTCATTTAGCTTCTCGTAGGTCGTGCCGTAGTCCGTTGACCTGCAGAGAAAAACAACAACAAAAAAAAGAGACACAAGGAATATATATCAGTTCTCAGAACATGGGAAGGGAAACAATAGGTGGAACGGGGGCGTGACACTATGGTTTGCACACTCCTGTGCTTCAACCCCTGCATTCGGGCATCGCTAACCGGGCAGGGACTGTCCACTTCTGTCGCTCTCCGAGATGTAATGAGAGCTGATGACTTCAGAGGCATTGCGCCCAGCTGGTTCCCAGGGTTGATGTTGGTACAGGACCTAATCCCATGAGTGCCCTGGGTATCCTCGTAACAAAGGAGACGGCCTTCGTTTAAAACAAACACTCAGAGGAGTCCCAACCGCAACCCTGCATGTTTTTCTCTTTGGAGAGATGAGTTGTAGCGGCCGAGCTCATGTCTCAATCAAATCGACTCATCCTGGCATCTCCAGAGCTTTGTCACCCGCCTGCAAATCTGTGCCAGGCAATTAATTGTTCTTCACTAGAGACATCCAGGCCCCTGTTCTGGCTGATCCCACGAGATGCAGCAGATGATCTGGGGGTGGCACGGCCCATTCGTGACTGGCAGAAAAAGTGCTGCTTCCATTACAGAGGGCTTGCTGCAGTTTTCTCTTCCCCCCACCCCACTCCTCCTGGTTTCAGCTTGGTGAGGTCACCCTCTGCTCCCCCCACCGAAGAGGACAGGGGTTTCTCGAGTGGATACCATCTAGTCTGGTGTCCTGCCACCCGTGCCAGGTGCTCTTGGGGAAAGAGGCAAAATCCTCAAAAGCGCTCCTCGCTCTACCCTGTTGGGGAGAAGTCACCTCCTGCCCCTGCGGTGTGATGATAACTGTATGCTTTGACCCAGGAGGACTGGGGGTGGTCCTTGCAGTTATGCCCCTGACTCTTGCCTTGCATTTTCCTCATTATTTATTTGAATGGCAAATATTTAGGAATGGTGAGCACTTGTAGAAACACCTTCAAATGCTACCTGTGACTCGGTTTTTCATTATCACAGCAACTGCCTGGGTAGGGGGAGCGTAGCAGTGCTTTCTATGCCCAGATGTCTGATCCCTACGCATCTGTAGCTAGCATGGCCTAGGCCATGCTCCTGGGATCCCACTACAGTAGCCCCAAAAAGGATAACAGAGCTGCTTTCGATTCCCGCTGATGGCAGAGACCGATCCAAAGTCTGCCCCAGCCCAACCCAGCCCATTTTTCACCGAGTCCCTAGGAATAAGCCATCCAAAATCATAATGGATGATGCTGGCGTGCTTTGCCTTTTGCAAGGCAGCAAAAAAATAGCTTCTGAGTGCTGGCTCTGGTGCCAATCGATGGGGGAATCCATAAGACGGGAGATACAGTTCATATTAACGAGAAGCTATTACATCTTGTGCTGCTCTTCCAAGTGCAAATCTCTATTTCTGCAAGTTGGTCTTATCATAAAATGAGCCAAGCCAGCCCCCATAACCCGAGCACCTGCTGTCCTGAAGCATTTGACATGTTAATCAGAGCCCACTTTCTGTGGCTTAGCTCATCTACACGAAATTTTTCTAGGTAATGACCACATTGATCGCTGAAGGACTTCTCTCCCCTAGTGAAGCTTGAAACTAAAGCAGCCAGATGGATAAAACAGGATAATCCTACTCTCTGGGGAAACGTGCACATTGGAAAGTCAAAGGAGCAGGAATTTTTAGCCATCGCTACACTCCAAATACTTTGCAATGGAAATTTATGAAGGCAGAGGTACCGCTTCAGTCTAACCTTTGGCAGCTGTGCTGAGGCTCTGAACAAGGCAGATCCATGGTTATACAAGGGAGACATACACTGAGTCGTGTACTGAACATCAGGCAATGGAAAAAGATCACTAATTTCAATCAGTGTTCAAACAAAATGCAAATAATGGTTTAATATTCCCACAGGGCCAGTTTGGTTTTGTTCCCATCATCACTTTCAGATCTCCCAAAATGCCTTGCACTTACAAAGATGCAGGCTGGATGCCCTAACAACCCTTCCTCATTAAACCATTATTACTCACTGCATTTGCCCTTTCAAAGCATAGCTAAAAAAGAAGCATGATCATTATTTCTTTAGCTTCCTTTAGTCTCCTCTTTATTATAATGACAACCACCACTGGTTTCATGGAAAGGTCTCAGAGGATATCACAATAATACTCCATGATGGCCCGGCACTGCCCATCCACAGATCCCAGAGCACTGAACCAGTGTTAATCAATGCAGACGCTCAGAAGTCCCATTCGCCGTGTCCTGAAATATTATCCCCATTTTAGAGGTGAGGAAACTGAAACACGGAGAGGCAAGGCCAGATTACTCAAACTCGGGTGGCTAAAAGTGGGCATCTCAATGCCTATTTTGCATCTGACTGTGTGGGCTGATCTTCAGAGGTGCCAAACACCACGGATATCAGTCTCCTTGATTAAGAAATCAAGCCACTCATTTAGGTACCCAAACTGGAGTTAGATGCCTAATTTGGCACAGCTAAATGCCTGACTCAATGTCCCAGAGTAAGCAGTAGAGCAGAGGAAGGAAAGAAAAGGGCAGAGTCAGCATTCTAACCACTCTCCCTGATATTATCTAGGCATTTACACGCTTCTACAAGCAGCTGAACAGACTTAAGTGTCCTAAAATTCACACACTAACAGCACCACAATACCCCGCGGAGGGCTTTCCAACTTCCACAATCCAAAGACCCTCCTCTTTGACAGAAGCCAATGCACAGGAGGGAGTCCCAAAAGAGGTTGCCGCTTAATAAAATGCACACCGGACTGACAAACCAAATCTGAGATATGATCCAAGAGCATCAAAATGGAAACCCTGTTATGGACTCCATTAATGCCCTACATATGAAATGCAAAAATCTAGAACTCTTGGTTCAGAGATGAAACCTTTTATTAGACCAATGGAGACATTGCAAAAAAAAAATAAAAATCTTTTTCTGCAAGCTTTCAGGCTCGCATGCACTTCATCAGGCTCAGGGAAAGTTAAGGAGAGTGAAAAGTCCCCATATGTAGGAAATAAACTTCATTTTTGCACAGAGGAAGCTGAAGCTGGGAATCTGTTCCTCTGGGTCCATGAGAGTGTCTTTGTGGGGTTGCTCTTTGTTGTGCAGATCAAACAGGATTGCTTCCCTGTTGGGGTCAGATGGCCGGCAGGGAGGTATAAAAACCTTTCTTGTTGTTCAGCAATGAAGTTTCTAGTCCAAAATGAAATTACATATATAATGTCACCTGGCAATAGGGGCAAAGCACTTAAGATATAGTTTCAGAAGCAGCAGTTCAATCCCTGCTCTGAACTTATGCCAAAGTTTCACCCCAGTTGTAAATGGGCACCAGATCACTCAGACTGCAGAGTCAAAGGTGGGTAGAGATGATGACGGCCCCATCACTCCCTTTCGTGCCATTGTCTAAGAAACTGGTGTGCCCTAACCATGCCAGCCCATCGGCTGTGAAGCTTGGTTAGTTCCTATGGCTGATTTTGTTTTCTCCAGTGTAGACACAAAGGTGGAGGAATCAGCAACTGGCAGCTCAGACATAGGGGTCCTTAGAACCAAGACTTCTGGGTTCCCAACTTCTACAACTCCACTAGCGCATTTGCAAATGGAGTAATAATAAGCAACAAGAGTAATAATACAGAGGCACAGGGGGATATTAAGGATTAATTAGGCAATATTTGCAGAAGGCTCTAACTATAAGCAGGAAAACCATTTTATTCATCACATTACAATAGAAGAAACCCAGCTAATAATCCCCACACCAGGATTATTAGCTACTAATTTGATTAGTAGCTAACAATGCAATCAGAAATGTTGGGAATTGTAACAATGAGGAAAGAGCCTTGGGCTGTAAGGAAAAGGAGTACAAGCCCAGTCTGAGGAATCTGCCTCCAAGACGGTCCTGCTTACTGATCATGTAACGTCCCCTCTGCGGTTTGACCCAAGCTCTGATGCGGTTCTGCTCTTTGCACACAAAGCTGCTGGTGGATCACCAGAGAGAAGCAAATAGGTGACTTCAGAAAGAGCGAGGAAAGGTAAAAAGACCCCCAACACCACTGTGTCCTGCACTGTCATAGCAGGATATCCTACCCCACGCAGTGCTTTCCATAACCTCACAAGAGGGAAGAGGTAGAGTCTCCCTGGAGTCCACTTGGGTCTCATCATTACCCATCTGCCTGATGCAGAAGGCAGTCAGACACTGCAAAAATGGGATACAGAAAGGACTCAGGTGCTGCCTAAGAGGGCTGTGCGAAATTTCACCGGCCATTTCGTTCCATTACTGTTTCAACTAATTTTGAGGCCGAAACAGCAAAATCAGAATGAAACAAAGGTTGTTGAAATAGCCTCGAAACAAAACAAGGCTAGCCGAAATGTTTTGAAAGTTGAAATATTTCAACCATAGGCTGGGGATGGGAAGTCAGTTCAGCTGGGCTGACTACCCATCCCCAGCGCAAGATCCAGCAGGGAACGGGAAGTCAGCCCAGCTGTGTTGACTCCCCGTCCCCCATCCCCAGTGCTAGATCACGCAGGGGATGGGGCAGCAGCCCAGCTGGGCTGACCCCCACCCCTGACACAATCTAGCGCCAGGGATGGGACTCCTCATCCCCAGCGAAACTTCAAAACAGACTCAAAACAGCCTTTCCTTTTCAATGGAATGGAACAGCTGTTTTGAATCGAAATGAAATTTGAAATGGAACGCTGTTCCGTCGAACCGTCGAAACTCAAGGCGAAACAAAACGGTGCCATTTCGCACAGCCCTACTGCCTAATGGGTAGCAATGTGAAGCCCTAGGGCAGAACAAGAGACAAGTCTGTGTGCAGGAGCTGTCACAGAGTGGCCCGTGGATCAAACCCCATTTTGGAAGACGGCTCCTGGCCAGTTGAAGAAAACACTGGCTGCAGTTACCAACACGTTCTCCCTGTAGCACTGCTTGGTACACACTTAAGATAATTGAGCTGTCAAATGCAAGCCCTTGCTGCTTTAATTAAGAGAACAATGCGCCCATTCACACA